CCCGCCAGCCCTGCCTCAGCTTTCCCCCGCTCTCTTCGGGTCAGGGCTTCTCCCTGGCCAAGTGCTTGTGCCAGCGGAGCCCTGCTAATTTCTGGCGTGGGACTGCAGCTATTAATTGATTACTAACACGGATCCTGCCTGGCTGTGCACTGCAAGTCTCCTTTCATTCACTGAGCTTGCTACCGTAAATATCTGCGTGGAGAAATGTTTCCTTTTCTTAATTTTAGTTGTCATTTATCTTGGAACAGCAGTAGAAAGAAGGACAACGGCTCTTTTCTTATTCAGCCTGAGAGGAGAAGTTAGGGACTTTGGTGGCACCATATTAATCGCTGAATACCCTCAGTGTCACACAAGCTGGTCTATAATTTTCACAGGCCATTTTTTCCCTTGGCTCTTTTAAGGCCTTGCTTCCCTTGCCAGTGCTTTGGACCTCCTAATTAGTTAAGGATATGAAACATTTGCTGTTTGAAACTGGAAATAATGAGTGAGACACTTTCCTGGGCTGGGATATTGGAAGCGCCTTCAGGGTCCTAGGCTTTTAGAGGAAATACCATGAATGAAATAAACCTCAGGTGTGCCTTTAGCTCCTAGATGCTCTGGAAAGGCCACTTACTGCTTCAACTGATAAGGGGACCAATAAAAGGAAAGTTGGACCTACCAGCCTTCCTGAGCCTTCCCTTCCTAATCTTACAAATCGTCTGCTGAACGGTGTCAGGATTGCATGGGACAGGCCAGACATGAATGAGGTTTAGAAGGGTTTCTGGATCTCAGGGACAAAACGTAGCCTGAGACCCAGCTGAAAAGCTCTTTTTTCTGCTCCGGCACCAATAGGTAAAAGGTGCTAGTTCCCTCCTCTCCCGCTCAGTTTAATTGCTATATGGCATCACTGCAGCATGGTGCAGAAGGCCTGGAAATGAGAACATTGGAACGAATGTTAGGGCACTGAAAGCACTGATAATCCACTGAGATGCATTGTTCCCTCCACTGAAGCCCGTCTCGGTTCTGTCACACATATTGATTCCCTTGACAAATGTTGAGCTAATGGCTGACTTGGAAGGCACTGGATCCGTGGGTTTCCAGTTCATTGGGCTGTGAAACATGGAATGACATTTTTGGTGATCTCACACCTGACTCAATCCAAGGGAAACTAGAAGCTTGTCATGGAAACTTAGCGAGTATTTGAAATCCGTTGCTTAATGGAGAAACACTGGGTAACTTCTCTTCGTTGAGAGATCGTGTTTAACCACAGCCAGGCTTTGCTGGCTAATAGCTATTGTTCTCACCAGGAAAAACAGCCTGCAGGGCCCAATGTAAATATATGACTCTGGAGAAATCACTGGCCACAAGCCAGCCTTCTAGCTGGCCCTGTCCTAGCCTCTGCAGTGTTCCCCATCTATTGGAAAAGCCTCTGTATTGCGTATGTTCAGATTAAAACTGAAACCCTGATGGTCTACATAATGTAGCATTAAATCTTTATGCAGAAAATGAATTTACTTCCGTTCTTTATTCAGAAAGATTCAGTGTGAAAATGCTAGACAGTATGAGAGAGTGGATTACCAGGTGGGCAAACAGTTTTGCTCTGGCTGGGAAGTTCTCGGCATAGACCACTACCAGCAAGCTAAAAAGGAACCGGCCCACTTTCCTTCTTGCCTGTCTAGTCCCATCTCGGTCCCCCTTGCAGAAGGCGACCCTAACTTCTGCAACAGATGCTGTACCTATATCATGATCACATCGGAAACAAGTCCTTTGGATAAGCAGTCACAGTATTTGCCTAATGTACAGAGGAATATTGCGTAGTTCTCCATCTTACTGTTCAGAAAGGATGCAGGGTAAGAAAGCTTTTCAGTGAATGGCTACTCAGGAGCACAAGTACTGATTTCATCCCAGCTGGAAAGATGAGTTAAGGACCGAGCCTCAGTAAGCTTTCCATCCTCTCAGGGAAGAGAAACAGGAATTTCCCAATGTGAGTCACAGTGTGTATTTGTCCAAGTCACCATCCAGAGGTGCCCATCTCTGCACGGACTATAGAGGACACTTCTGGTGAGCCAGCTCTGAATAGGTGCCTGGGCGACCTGCGCAAAGCCAGAAGGGATGATGTGGGACAGCCCTAGGATTGGCAGGGATCACCTCTCAGGAGGCGTAGGATGTAGGTGTAGGACTGATGTAGGGTTCCTCGCCTACCAACTGCCTTTCATTCAGAAAAGACATACAGGTTTTAAGGGTCCTTGAACCATCCCTTGTACACAGAGAAGTGACAAAGGCTTCCCAAGTGCTGGAGAAACGGGAGGCTTTTACTGGAAAAGAAAAAAAAAAAAAAATCCCTCTCTGCCTGAGAGTTTTGCAGGCAGAGCTGTTTACAGTAACTGATAGGTTTTTTCATCTGGCCAGCATGACTAACTAACCATGATCCGAAAAGTGCCCAGAAGAGCGCTAAGAAAAGCGCACATTTTGCAGCTGAACTTCCTCTTCTTCCCAGATTCAGCGGTTAGGCATTCTGCACAGAAAAAACTTTGAATGCAGCTTTAAAGAATCTCTAGACACAGTTCCTTCTGGGGAACTGGCTTCCAGATGATACCCCAGGATTCTCATAGATTTCCATGGGAGTTTTTTTGTATTTGTAGTGACCTTTCAGCTACTCAGACAGCATCAACTGTAAGTTGAAATTTAATCTGTGTACTAAAATCTGACACAGACATACCTCCTGCCTTGAGGACT